ATCATCTATGTCCTCCGTTTGGCTTGGGGATCTATAGTAAACTCCCACAATGAGGTCACTGTTATTCTTCTCTTCCTTAATTTTGACCCAAATGCTCTCACTTTGGCTTTGAGGTTCTAAATCTTGGATCTCTTCACAGGTATACACATCCCTGACATATAACGCCACTCCTCCTCCTTTCTTGTCTGGTCTGTTTCTCTGAAATAGATTGTATCCCTGCCTTATTAAATTCCAATCGTGGGACTTATCCCACCAGGTTTCAGTGATGCCTATTATGTCATATTTAGTTTGCTGTACCAAGAGCTCAAGCTCATCTTGTTTATTTCCCATGCTTTGCGCATTAGTGTACAGACACTGAAGTCCATTAATCATTCCCCCGTGTCTCTTATTTAAGGATTTTTTCCTCCCACCACTAGGTCTGTGTGCTGTTTTCTCCATTTGGTCTATGACATTTGGATGATCATCTTCATCAATTGATAGACTCCTACCTTCAGGAGCACTGTCTCCCTCCCCCACATTAGTCAGTTTAAAGCCCTCCTGATGAGGTTTCTGAGATTTTTGGCAAAAACATTTCTCCCAACCGTTGTGAGTTGCAGCCCATCGCTTGCCAGAAGTCCATCTTCAAGAAACTGCAGTCCGTGATCTAGAATCCAAACCGTTCCTGTTTACACCATTTGCTATTGCTTGCAGTGTCATTGGTTCCCACATGAACCAAGAGGAAGGGGTATTTGTCAGTGGGTTTTATGATTCCTTGCAGTCGTTCAGTTACATCTAAAAGATAGATGAATCAAACTGCTGCCCTGCAAGTTCTGATAAGCTCCTCCCACAGCTAATCACCTGCCTCAACAGAAACCCTACCCCCTCTGACCTTTACACAGGGAGAGCAGCTAATCAGCCACAAAGAAACACACACACAAGAAAACCCTTTCTGCTCCTTCTTCAGCTGCTGCCCTGCAAGCTCTGATAAGCTCCTCCCACAGCTAATCACCTGCCTCAACAGAAACCCTACCCCCTCTGACCTTTACACAGGGAGAGCAGCTAATCAGCCACAAAGAAACACACACACAAGAAAACCCTTTTTGCTCCTTCTTCAGCTGCTGCCCTGCAAGCTTCGATAGCCACCCTTACAGTTGCTCAAGGAGAGCATACAGTTGCTCTTCAAGGCTATTCAGTGTCACAATTGTGGAATTGTCTGCTGTCTACAGAAAAACTGTCAAAAAGCTCAGATTTCCAAATAGCCAAGGGGAGCTCAGAGAAAGGAGGGGCCAGTAGCAGAGAGCATGCTAAGCCCCAGTCCAAGCAAGGTCTTGTTTTGATTACACCGGAGACATCAGCGTCAACTTGGAATGCTTTTGTTGTCAACACAGGAGCTACAGCCCATCTGACTGGATGCAAGGGATTGTTTACCACTTTTGAGGATCGGCGTTACACTGTCAAGCAAGTGGATGGTCATGAGTTGGAAGCCACTGGGTTTGAAGCTGTGTTTCTTGAGAGTCTCCAAATCACTGTCAACAATGTTTATTTTGTTCCAGGTTTGAAGTACAGCCTGTTGAGTGTGTCACAGCTGACTGAGCATGGTTTTGTGATATCCTGCAACAAAGAGAGATGTGTAATCTCCAGAGATGGGACACCACTTATTTATGCCTACAAAGAAGATGGGCTTTATTTGCTTTCCTTTGATAGTACTGATTATAAGGGTGTTGCTGTATCTTGTGTTACAGGTCCCACAGGCAAGAAGCCCGGCAAAGTCACCAGAGTTTTACAGCGTGTGTATGCTGATGTGGTTGGACCTCTACCACTTTCTAGAGGCAAAGCCAAGTACTACCTGATAATGGTTTACTGTTTTTCTCAATGTGTTTGGATGTATATGTTGCAGAGACCGCAGCAAACCTTAACAAAGTTCAGAGAATTTTGTGATAAGGTGAAATTTGTTCATAATGCTAATGTTGAATGTCTTTTCACTGATGAAAATCAGGTTTTTGTTTCACAGGAATTTCAGGATTTCCTAGGTGAACAGGAGATTGAGCACAAGGCTGCTGTCTCAGAGGCTTCATGGAACAAGAGTGTATGTGTCAAGGTGAACAGAGAGTTGCAACAAGGCATGATAGCACAACTGCTAAGTGCAGGTTTGCCCCAGAAATTTGGGGCTGAGTTGCTGAATGCTTTTTCTTACACATGGGTAAGAAAGGTTTCAGCTGGTATGGAAAGTTCTCCTTTTGAGAAACTGTTCCAGAGAAAACCTTCTGTCAAGCACTTAAAGGTTTTCGGGTCTCACATGTAGGTAGAAACACCACAAGGTGTGAAAGGCGCACGGGGCATTTTCATGGGTTATGAGAAAGGTCAATACAGAGTTTTATTGCCTGATTCTGACACAGTGATTCTTACTAGGAATGTAGAATGCACTGCACAACAGTAGAGAGAGGTTCTCCACAGTTTCCCCATCAATGCCAACACACATGTAGATTCTGACATTGAGAGTGACACTGAAAGCACCGCTGAGAGGTCTAATACCGATGACACAGTCATTGAGAGAGGTACACAAGCAATGTCCAGGCCATCATCCGTGGCTGAACTGGAATTGCCAGAGCCACAGTTTACTGTTGATCGTGGTTCTCCCAAAAGTCCCAAGGAAGAACCAGCCAGCAAAGAGGATCTGCACCTACTACATAGATCTGAGAGAGTCACAAAGGGACTGCCACCCCAGTGGTACTCCAGGGAGTTTGCTAACACAGCTGTTGCATGCATAGGTGTGGCTAGCAGCTCAAATCAGGTTTCAGACACTGAGGTCTTGAATGAGGTACAGGGTTTTTCCACAGGAGAGACAACCTGAAGGTTGCAAGAGCCAACACTGTTTCCTCAGACCAATGTAGAGCAAAAGCTCTAATCCCATGGAAGAAAGGTAACCAGAAGTTTGAACTGGTCAGTCCAGTTGCAGGTAGTTCCAAACATGGAACTCGTACAACAGAGGTATACTATGTGTATGACAACTGTTTATGTCTCTTAATGCTGCACTAGCTTTCGCAGCAAGGGTTACCTAAAAATGGAGGAGTGATGTTAGGATTTTTATCCACCCCGAGCTGCTCAGCAAGTAGCACTGTGTTTTTTATATCATGTGAGTGTCTGAGAGTATGATACAGGAAGTCTCAGTACTATTGGAGTATTGTTGAGAAGTTAATTTCACATCTGTGTGAGATGCTTTTCTGTACTGCTGCTGAGAGAGCACAAACATGCTGGTGGATTCTTTGTACATGGACTGTAAATAAAGTAGTTTATAGCTACTGATTGTCTTTTTCTTTTGCTGTGAGATGCCAGAAGACGAGTGGGCTCCTCTCAGGAGAGAGGGCTCACTTATCACCAGTCTCTCTGGACTGAGGGAGATTTACAGCCAGAGAGTGACCACCGGAGAGATGCCCCGGTGTCTTGGGAAGGTGGCGGCCTTCCTGGGCGTTTTTCCAACAGAATGTACACAATAATGCAAGTATGGTCACAGCATATATTCCTATACTAGTGTCAATGATATTGACATTTTTATATTCAATTCCTTTCCTGATGAGCCTAGGTGTGGAATTTGCCTTTTTTACAACTGCTGTATGGAGAAATGTTGGAGGGATGCACACATGCACACATGTATGTATGTATTTTAATGTTTGTTTTTATAATGTTGTATTTATTGTTTAATGTGTTTGTGTACAAACACACACACACACACACACACACACACACACACACACAGTTGCATTTATTAATCTGGGGCTTTCTTTTCCCCGTCATGCTTCCCTAATTGCAAAACATAAATTAAAAGATTTATGCACTTAAAATGCTTTCGTACTAGACCAGGAGTAAACGCTCAAGCAGGGGGATAGATCACTTGGCAGAGCATGAGACTGGTTTGTGGGTGTGAACCCCATGCTGGGCTAAAGATTCCTGCATTGCAAAGAGCTGGTTGGTCAGAGAATAAGGGATTGCCAGAAATGGAAATATAAAATGTGTGTGGGACAAGAAAGATTGTGTAGCTTTGAGATTTCTGGGAATGCCTTTTTTAAATTGCTTGACATTTTCAGTGGGAGGGTTATGCCACACATGGTGACCAGCCTCTACTGCTCTTTAAACTAGTTAGTGGAGATCCCATGTGAGAGAGGGCTATTGGGCTCATACCTTGTTTTCTGGGGTTTGGTCTCTGGGAGCTGAATGCTGAACTAGAGGGGCCTTTGATGCAATCCAGACAAAAATCCTCTTATGCTCCTAACTCCTGAATCTCTCACTGGCTCTTCAGAGTTCTGCCAAACAGTCATATTCTGCACTGGGTGCCTAGTGCTGTGTGGCAAATCTCCAAAAAAAAGCAGCTACAAATGCAAACAGTGGACTGCATTTTAGAGCTTCCTTCAATCTTTCCTCTTGCTAAGTTGGGTGGGGAGCTTTTTATTGTATTTGTTTGAACTTTTGTGATGCCCTTATGATATTGTAAGCCACTCAGATTTCTTTGAAATATAGAGTGGTATAAATATATCATAAATCAATAAAATCATTGTCCATTTGTTCATTTTCAAAGCACTGCCCTTTGCCACTGCAGCTTACAAATATTCTTAATTTGATGAATACGGACACAGAACACAGTTTTTATTTGCCACACCAATTTATTTTGATTTTGAACAAAGATAAATTTAACCCATATATCATATTATCATGAGACAGAGCCCCCAAGCCCCACATTCCTACTTTAGCTTATCTATTCCCTGCATCCCATTCACCCTGCATTAAAAGCCAAATAGAGGATTCAGGAGTCCTGTGCAGTAGCTCTTCCTCTCCCACCACCAGGCAAGCAACCTCCACCTCCACTGCTGCAAGAAACAGTGGGATCCAAACGGAAGAAGACATTGTTCTCTCCTAATTACTCTTCAAAGTTGAGCTCCTCTAGGGGAGGCAGAATATCACTGCATCGTGCTCTGGTTATAGTGCCTGAAAGGGCATCAAAATGCATTGATTCTTGGCCATTGCACAAAATTTTGGGGATGCACAGCCGTGGAAATGCTCGTCAGGAATTGAACTGTTATCTAGTAAAGAAAAAGAGACATTTTCACATGAGTGCCTGGGTAGTAACAGGTGAGTTTGTGTGCAGAAGAGAGAATCGGAGTGTTTTATTGTTTATTAAGTATATTGAGCAAGTATAGAAAGCATCTCAGAACCATACATGTGATCAATTTGACACAGATGTTTAAAATTTAGAAAAAGAAATATCCATTTTTTATTATGGGACAGAGGCCCATCTTCATCAATATTGCTTTCCAGATCTGGGCTCCATGCTTGCCTTTACGTCTTCTAAAATATTAGTGAAAACTTTCTTTTAAAAGGCAGTTTTACACATGATAAAATGAACAGATTATTTTGCTTCCTTTCTCAAATCCCCACCCAAGAAATATGGAGTCTCATCTATATACATGCAGAGCAAAGATCATTTAACGGAGTTATAGTTTCAGAAAATTAGAACTTTCCCCTACCAACACGTATAGTGCATTTTCTGGCAGAAAGCCACAAACAGAAAAAGAGAGCAGCTCACCACCCTGTCTCCACCTCATTGGCTGGCAGTGCTACTTACCGTGAGCAACAACAAACTCTATGCACTGAGTCTCATCATCGTTACACTTGATGGTCTTTGAGCCCTTACAGGCTTTTGAGAGAGAAGGACAACAAGTTGGACACTCCCGCCCATTCAACTTAGGTTTTCCCTCTGTGGAAAACAACAACTAAAATCAACACAAGGTTTCAGCCCGTATCTCCTTCATTCCTTCCTTTTCCTACATTGTAATAATTTATTAAATTTTCAAAAAATTGATATATACACACATCAATGCATAATCAATTTTTCAGACTTCCCACCCCATTTTCCATGGTGTTTTTACTTCTTCCCCTCCACAGCACAATACCATCTATCTCTTATACCAGCACATCAATACTTTATTCTTTAATTACTTATATTGCTCATAGTTTAAATCCAAGAAAAAAGCACACCAAGAACTCAGGCCAATGTAAGTTTCAATAGTGGGAGTGGTCCCTAATCACAAGTCAATAGTCAATAGTAACAAAAACTAATCCATTCAGAAGTATGTATTCTGACAAGAATTACAAACTCAAATAAAGATTACAAATTCTAATAGAGATTACAAACTCTAACTCATAAAGATATGTATAAAGAGAAAATCTTTGTAATGAATTATTGACTTGTGAGTAGGGATCACTCCCACTATTGAAACTTACCTTGGCCTGAGTTTTTGGTGTGCTTCTTTCTTGGTATATTTAATAACAAGAACTCCAATTTATTAAACATAGTTCAAATCCTGCTCGTGAGTTCATCATACAATAATTTCCTTAAATAGTCTGAAACAGGCTTCCATTCTTCCACAATGCAATCATCCTTAGATTCTCTTATTTTGCCTGTTAACTTTGCCAATTCTGCATAGTTCATCACCTTACTTATTCATTCCTCTTTGGTGGTAACTTCTACTTCCATTTTTGTGCATAGAGAATCCTAGCCACTGTTGTTACATACATAAACAACTTAATCATGATTTTTTTGGAACCTCTTTCCCTATAATCTCTAGGAGAAAACTTTCTGGGGTTTTTTTATGTATAATCACTTTAGACACCTTTTTTATCTCATCATATGTTTTTTTTTAAAAAAAAAACAAACTATCACTTTCTTACATGTCCACCACTTATAAATGAAAGTTGAATGTAGCAGTTTACATTTCCAACAATTATTTACAACATTTAGCCAATTTGTTAGGTTAAAAATGCCATCTATACATTATTTTCATGTAATTTCCTTTTAGAGTATAACAGGCAGTACATTTCATATTAATTTTCCACAACCTTTCCCATGCATCCATTTCTATATTATGTCCTAGATCTTTAGGCTATTTTATCATTGTAGATTTAACCAGCTCATTATTATTTTTTGTTTCCCATTAAACTTGCATTTCTTGAAAAACATAATATGTTTTCCTTTCAGTGAGTCTTGATATCAGGTCCACACACTATACAAACTTCTCCTTATACAATTATTTAAAAATTCTCTATGTACCTTTACCTTAGCATACCACAGGTAAGCATGCCACCCATACCAATTCCCATAATATAATTTTTAAATCTGGCAATGAGAATCCATCTCTTTCCTTAACACCTATTAGCATTTTAAATTTGATCCTTGGTCTTTCCCCCTGCCAGATGAATTTTGATAATTCTTTTTTTCCATTACTTGAAGCAGTCCATGTATTACCAGGATTGTGTGAAGGAGAAATTACATCTTAGGCAAAATATTCACTTTTATCACTGAGATTCTTCCCAAAAGAGAAAGTTTCATTCTACTCCATCTCTTCATGTTTTGTTTAATCTTACTCCATACAATCAGCTAATTATTTTAAACAGATTTGCATTTGTATTTGTTATCCAGATACCCAGATATATCACCTTCTTTTCCACCTTAATACCCATTATTTCTTTCAGTTTCTCTTTACCTTGCTGGTTTATATTTTTTGTTAACTTTTTAGTTTTATTCTTATTTATATAAAATTCCTGCTAAATTACCAAACTGCTTTATTACATCCAATACCTTAACCACATTTTCTATCAGGTTTTCCAGGAACAATACCACATCAACTGCAAAAGTCCTCAGTTTGTAACTTTGACGGCCCACTTGGAGGCTTCATATATCATTATTTTCTCTAATATCCCTACACAGCAATTCTAACCCTAGAATAAACATTAACGGTGAAAGCAACCTTGTTTTTTTTCCCCTTAGCATTAATGCATTTTTCTGATAGAACACCATTTACTCTTATGTGTGCAAATTGCTATTTATATAATGCATTTATTCTTTTCACATATCTGTCCCCAAACCCCATTATAATCAGTAGTTTCCCCCTAAAACTCCAAGAAATATTATCAAATGCTTTCTCTGCATCTAAAAGCATAGCTAATTGCTAATCACTTTTTCTTTTTCAAATAGCATTCCGTACAATTCTACCTTTATCTTTTATCTGTCTTGTTGGCAGAACTCCTGTCCGATCTTCATGTATCAAATTTCTTAACACTTGTTTAAGTTGTCTTGCTAATATTGTAGCCAAAAAATTTATATTTCAATTATTCCTCAGCTTCAGTTCCCTAGTCCTGTGAGAGGGTTACAACATCTCCACTGCATTCTGTTTCAGGAATTCATTGTGCTGATGGTGTAGATCTAGATATTATCTCTAATGATGAGACAGAAGTGCTGGCAGCTGGGTTATCAAAGGGGAGTGATTTTAGTTGTCACTGTGCAAATACAGTCCAGAGAAACTCCACCCAGTCTGTTGTTAAATATGTATTGTGTTTCATAGTTCAACCTAAGAGGAATAGGCAAGTAGGATTATTTTGGGGAGTGGGTTGTGGAATTTATTGCTGGGTTGTCTATGTGATTAATTTGCCACTTCTATGTTTTGTCCATGGCCTAATATGCATTATGATCCATCATTGTTTATGTAGTCTTATGTATTGCTTATTACTGTGAAATAGATTTATGTTCACTAATCTCAAAATCTGTAAAAGTAGTAGGGGGAACTTTAGCCATGGGGGATCAGGGACACTTACATGGCAAAAGAGCCATTTGTATTTTCAGTTGACTTTTGGTTTCGTATCCTATTCACTTTACTTTCTTTTTATCTGGGGAGAATTATTGGAACTTTTCAGCCTCCTGTTCCCCAAAGTTATGGTTGAGGCATCTTGCAACACCATATTAGAAGAGCCAGGATGTCACCCTGTAGCTGGTGTTCTGGAGGTGGAGTTACTACTAGGTAAACTGTGCTTCCATGTGCTCTGGCTTCCATAACAGTTTCCCATTGCACCAGAAGCAGTTTAGTCATGCTGGCCACATGATCTGGAAAGCTGTCTGCAGAAAAACAGCCAACTCCCTCACCCTGAAAAGCGAGATGAGTGCTGCACCCCATATTCTATTTTGACAGGACTTAACCTTCGAGGGGTCCTTTACCTTTACCTTTTTCCTTACTATGAGGTATCATGGGGACCACCTTTGGTGTCCTCTAACCAGCTACAGGGAAGCGGTAACCTATCTTGGGCTTCATCAAAGATCTCCAATGACTTCTGTTTGATATTGATTGTCTAAGGGCAACCAAGGAAAACCCTTAAAGCCTCAATGCTATTTATGCTCAAGGATATATACAAATATGCATATACTTACTTTCACCAACTAGACTGCCACAGCTTGTAGAACGACAGCAGGACCTGAAACTCCGCAGGTAACGACCATCTTCTCTGGTGAAAGTATAGCTCTCTACAGTGCAATCTGTAGTACATCCCTGTTCACGATCGAAATCATAGGCACCTGTGAGAGAGCATTAGAAGAAATACCTAGATCAGCAAAAATTCAAATCATTCCTCTCCTGAATGATTTTTTTTTTTTTGTGATGCTCCCTTATATACATACATTGGGCAAATGGGTGAATAAAGAAAAAAAATCGGCACATACTGAATTTAGCAAGCTAATCCTTAAAGTAGTTTCTTCCTGTATCAGTATAATCTTTTCTGCCAAACCATGTGAATATTCCAGGATAGTTCCTTAAATGAGAAATTGTTGACTTGTTTTTCCTGCACATACAAAATGGCAAGGGCCTGGAATAGGTTGATCTGCCACCCATCTGATCTCCAGCTAGTTGATCCATTGGCTGATTCAAGAAGCTGTCTTATACTATATACAGTGGTACCTCACAAGACGAATGCTTCGCAAAACGAAAAACTCGCAAGACGAAAGAGTTTTTCATTTTTTGAGTTGCTTCGCAAGACGAATTTCCCTATGGGCTTGCTTCGCAAGATGAAAACGTCTTGCGAGTTTGTTTCCTTTTTCTTAAAACCACTAATACCGTTAAAACCGTGCTTCACAAGACGAAAAATTTGCAAGACGAAAAAACTCGCAGAACGAATTAATTTCGTCTTGCGAGGCACCACTGTAATATATATCTCTGAGAGTGGAGAATTCAGTTTTTTCTTTCCTCTAATTTTCTTTTCCCCTTCATCTAACTTCTGACTCACTATCTCAAGGGGATAAATCTTTTTCCATTCATCTTTTTATGGAGAAATGTCTGAATAAGTTTTCCTTTTTCATAAAAAAAAGATTTCTGAGGGTTCAGCTGCTGTCAGATTGTAACCAAAAGGGTTTGGAGCTTTGTGTTGTTACTATATATTGCAGGCCTATTTGACAGCCACTGCAGTGCTCACAAGTTCTGAAATGAGAGGTGGGGTTTCAGTTTCCGGCCTGACGTCGTGGTCATGGTGGTTGAGCTCCTCTGCCTTCCTGGGCAGGGGAGCTGCCTGGAGAGGGGAAAACCAGAATTTATGAGGTAAAATTCCTGGCAATGCTTCCCAGGGGGTCTGGGGAGTGCAAGGTATCCCATGGTGTCGCTTAAACTCGTATCTCCCAGCCTGAAAGGCAGTGCGGGTGTGGCCTGGGATGTGTGTCCCTGCCATGGGCGAACCTCCATTTCCGGCATGATCTGTGATCAGTTCCTCAAGAATTCGGAATATTGCATTAATTATGGGGCACTCCTGTAATGGGATATGATAAAGGGCTGCAACTATTCAGCTGCCAAAAGGACTGGACTTGAGCCATGACTGGACTTGAGCCTGCAACAGGAAAGAATTATGTGTAGGTGTTTAGAGGTTATCTGTTATCTGGAGGAAGACAGAAGACCAATGATTTATGCCCAATTTAGAGTTTTACATTTTTTAAAATATATCTTCCCCTCTCAACTGAAGACGAACCGATTTTATATAAAGTTTCTTTGAACTGTATGAAGAAAGCGTGGATGAGAGAGTGGTTTGCTAAGGACTGCTAATTACACTTGCCATGAGTTTATAAATGGGATTTTTATTTTTGACTGTGAGCTGTGGAAAACAATCCCAGGATTTTAATGGTGGAGAAGGCATCTTCTCAGCAGTTATTTATAACTCGAAATGTCGTTGAAAAACTGAAGGGATGGTTTCAAAGGAATGGAATGGACTGAGAAAGTTGGCAATTATTCTCTCTCTCACTCTAAGTCTGTGAACAGCTGGAAAGGCTGCACATATGAGACGTTATTTTATATGTTTTGGAAAATAACAATGGTGCTGTCTGTAAAAAAAACAAAGAATGCTAGCTAGGAAAATGAATTATGACTAAGAGAAGGTGATTAAAGAAAAAGAATGAATGTGGCAACATCAGGAAGCAATGGACATTTGTTTGTGAAAGAGCAGCAAACCTATTTATTTATTTAAAAATATGTATTAAATTTAAAGGATCTGGATTGGTTAAAATTCTGAAAACTAATAAAATTGATTTTAAAAATATATTTTAGGTTTCACTACTGTAACCACGGGACGTGGGTAGCGCTGTGGGTTAAACCACAGGGCCTAGCACTTGCCGATCAGAAGGTCGTTGGTTTGAATCCCCACGACGGGGTGAACTCCCGGTGTTTGGTCCCTGCTCCCTGCCAACCTAGCAGTTTGAAAACACATCAAAATGCAAGTAGATAAACGGCGTTTCCCGTGCGCTGCTCTGGTTTGCCAGAAGAGGCTTAGTCATGCTGGCCACATGACCCAGAAACCTCTGCCAAGAAAGCGAGATGACCACCACAACCCCAGAGTCGGTCACAACTGGACCTAATGGTCAGGGGATCCATTTACCTTTACCTTTACTGTAACCACTGTTTGCTGGATCAACCTGTTCTTGCAATTTTTCCTCCATGGAATTTAGTTCAGATTCCTTTTCTTGTTTTTACCCTGAACTTGATTTGATTTATAGATTAATAGCTCCTCTAAAAATAGCAAACAAGGTTCCTTCCACAATTCAGTGTCACACCTCCATCCAGATCTTAATGATATTTCTTTCTTCAACTTGAGTCATTATATTGATGGATTTTGTAAAACAAATGACCATGATAAATCCATGTCTGGTTATGTTTGTGGTATCTGACTATGAAATTCTTGAAGCTCATTTCCTTTCAGATATTAAAAGGTGCCCAAATTCCTGAGGTCATCACTCCTATTCATGCCTACACCAAGCCTGCAGAATTGTTTATCTCCTGTGATATTGTACCATTCTGTGTGTCAAAATATGGGGGGAGATGAATTTTCTTCTTTCTGTGGATTTTTCTATACGTAGTTTGGTTCCTCATTTATTCCGTTTTTCTATATCTTAAAATGAAAATATTTTGCTTTTAGGAAATAGGAGAGCCAAACATGCAGCTCCTCTTGGCTCTGTTCCTGGCTGTTTCTTTCTTTTGTATATACCTTGTAACTAAAAGATTTATAATC